GTTCATCCGGTGTTTCACATCTCTATGTTGAAGAAGTGCATAGGCGGTCCGTCATTGATCATACCAACTGAAAATATTGGGATCAAGGATAGCTTATCTTATAGAGAAGATTCCTGTTCAGATTCTAGATCGCCAAGTTCGCAAGTTGAAGGACAAAGGAGGTAGCATCAGTCAAAGTCTTTTGGAGGAACCAATTTGTTGAGGAAGCTACTTGGGAAGCTGAAGAGGATATGAAGAAGAGATATCCACATCTGTTTGAATCCGAAGGAAGTGCAAATCAAGGTACTAATTTTCTTCTTAGTGCTCTTTAAATTATGAGTGAGCATGTTGTTTGTTTGCATTTGCTTGTTGGGTGTTTGAATTTGATGTTACACCCTAAGCCTAGTAAGAGTAATCTCATTCGAGTACGAATGTTCCCAAGGGAGGGGGGGGATATTGTAACACCTCGCAACTAGAAAGAACTAGAAGGAAGTTTAAAAAATAGAAATAGTTATTTTTGGGAATAATTTAAAAATCTGGAAATTTGGTAAAGGTGTTAAAGTGAGTTTTTGGTCAACTTCAAACGGCCATAACTTCTAGCTCATGATGAGTTAGGTGTACTTCCAGATATGGTTGGAAGCTCTTGGAATGATCTTTCCAACGCCGCTGAGTTTGCGAGATTTCGAGTTTGTATTAGTAAGTTATACTCTTCGGAAGTTGGGTTGTTCGAATAAGGAAAGTCCAATCCGAATTTTAGAAGGGTAGTTTGGTCTTTTCCTTACCCAACTTACTTAATTTGTTTTTAGGAGTTTGATTGGGTAAAGTCAGATTTTAGTCAGTTTTAGAAAAAAGTGAATTTCACGTTAGGGCTTGGAGAAAAGAGAAAGGAGAAGGGAAAGCAAGAACGTTCAAGATTCGTTTAAGATTCGCCGAGGTTAGCTTGTGGATTTCGTCAGGGGTGATCCCTACAAGGTATGTGAGATCACATAGCGTTGGGTTAATTTGCCCACGTGTCAATCATGATTTACTTTAGTGAATTTAAGTTCTTGAAAGCTTAGAAATTAAGTTCTTGAATGGGTTTGTTGAAGGTTCATTAGATTCTTGTTTCGTTGAATTCGTTGAGGAATTGATTGATCCTAATATGGTATTTTAGGTTCATTTTTTAGTAGAATCTGATGTAATTTGAACATTTAATCGATTCTAAGTGTTGGGTAAAAGAACCCACGGAGTTTAGAGGGTTTAGAGCTAAAAAACGAAGAAGAAATTTTGTCGGTCGAAATTTGGCACTACCTCCGCGTCGCGGAGCTACCTCCCAGATTTGGGAAAATTCGTTTCACGTCGCGGAACGGTCACGGACCATCCTGCCTCAAAAGTCATTTTTGAAACCAAAAATTAAATATGTCTCCACATCGCGGACCCACCCTCAAATATTGATTTTCGGTTTTTCTCATGTTTAGCTATCTAAATCATTCCTAAACATCATGATATCTTTCCAATCACAAATCACAATCCTTGCATCCATAGTTCAAGTCAAGGACCAGTTAAGAGTCAAGTCAATAGCAGTTAAGATCAAAGTCATGAGAAGGCAAGAGTCCAGTTAAGAGAAGTTCATAAAGTTTTCCAAAAGTCTTTTGCAAACGTTTTAACTTTGTTTTAAGACTTGAGTTTTGAGTTCAGTAAAGATTAAAGTTGAAATTCTTTTCTTCAAAAAGTATATGGGGACTAAGTATTCCCAAAGAGATTTAACATGCTTTCACATTTAAATAAGAACGGAAACTGAGATTTCCAAAGAGCCTTCGGGCTAGTTTTCATAAAAGAGTAATCGCTTTCTAAACGAAGCATGAGAGGAAACTTTGATTTCCAAGATAGCCTTTGAGCTAA